AAAAAAAAAAAAAAAAAAAAAATAAATAAATATACCGACGAATTGAATACCTCCTTCTTTTGGGAAGTCGGTCAAAAACAATTGAATCTAAAAGTTCTTATGGATTAACTTTTTAAATATTGTTTGTGTTCCATTGCAACTAATCTCAAAGACAATTTCACATACTTTATTACAGACTTGACTGTATCTTGTTAAACTCTCAGAGTTATTAATAAATCAAATTTAAATAAAACACTCTGATAATAATCAGAGCAATTAAGATTATAACAGCCGACCTGCGTAAATTGGTGTTGCCATTTTATAAATGTGGGAAAGAAGTTATCAGAGCAAGGTTCTTATTTCAATGTTAATATGTTTATTTGATGTTTTAGTTACGTAGTTTTTTTGTATAATTATACATTTTTTTAAATAATGCGGCGGTTTTGTTTTTATATATTTTGTGAATGGGAAATAAAATATCAATTTACATGATAGTGTATGATTTTTTTTATGAAAATGACTTTATGCAGCTTATTTTAAGCATGAAACGGCCGAATACTAAAACGAAATTTAAATATTATTATAAATAGCGTTATAAATGATAAGGCCACATATAAACTCCTAATTGCATTAAAATTTTTGCGTCTGTCAGATTATAAGCGGCGCAATTTCCAATATTCGGCCGTAAGTTTTTTTTTATAAGAGAAGGGGGCAAACATGCGTCGTCATTTAGATCAAACAAACCCTAAAAGCATCTTAACAATTTTTATTTTAAAACATATTGCAACACATTTTCATTATCAAAATTAATATTTGATTATATTTTTTTGCTTACAAACATCGTTATAATTCGTTCGTTTTTGCATATTTATATTATGTGTGCATTATGTTCTATCCAATAATTATAAATGATTTGGCAATGTTGCACAACCGGCTTTTAAAACGAAAACATAACTTAGTTAAATAAAATTAATTCCTTGCTACTTTCGACACAAATGCATTATGCGATCTAAAATTACTGGACGTTTTCTCCTAAAACCAGAAAGTCAAGACAAGTCCTAAAAAAAATCTGTTATCAAAATGTGCATTGAGAATTTAGCTAGTTAATAAAATTGTAAAGTAATTAATACGATAGAACATAGCACTACCTAAAATGATGAGAGCTTCTAAAATTATAACCTTCAATTTATATATAGTTTCAAATACTTTGTGGTCGTCGCGCCAAATACCTTTCTTATGTGTCACCTACGATTACATTGAATGAATTTAAAATGCATCTACGTTGAGCATGCTGCCATCGTTTTTATAAGCTCTGCAACTGCACGTTTATGGTATCAACCATTAGTTAAACTCTGCTCGAAAGAGGACTTCAAAGTTTTTATATTACCAGTCTTTCTTCAGACTTAAGGAAAACCATGTGTGATAGACAGGATAAAATTGATTAAAGAAAACAGAAGATTATGTATGAATTTTATACCTATATCTTATACCGAAACAATAAGTGTAAATCTATAATGTATCTATATTACTATACTATCTATACTATTATAATAAAGCGTAAACACACACTTCTTTGTTGCCTAAGATGTCAGCAATTACAGCATATTTTTGAATAATTCTTATTTTAATAAAAAGCCCTACACTTACGTCATGCTTTAGGTTATATATTTTCACGCCATTATACTTAGGTGGTAAATATTTTGGATAAAAACCCTAATGTGGGAAAGAGACCATAAGTTGCTGCCAACATCAAGAAGCAAGACTGTCAAGGTTTGTCATATCATGTCATTTTGACATTTGCTATTGATAATTTGACAAATGTAAACAATAAAATAAAATTTTCACAAATTCATGCGGGTGAAGCATCATGGGAACAGCTAGTAATAAATATTTTGTCTTGTAGCCAATACTGAAAAATACTTGTACATTTTATGCAATGAACTCTAAAATCAATTGTTTTTTTAACGGTTTTGGTTAACATTTGTTTTGTTTGTACTTAGTTACGATACGATCAAAGGATGCGACTTATATGAAAGTGCTTTTACTTAAAAAAAATGCAACAATGAATGTTGCCAGTTTTAAAGATTAAAATATATGTATAGATGTAAGCATTTATTGCATTTATGCTTTTTGTTTAATATTTTAAAGTAGGAAAAAATTAACGTAAAGATATAAAGCAATGACACAAATGATAATTTTGCTCCAACGTATTATTATCAACTAAAACTGAGTTCATACCTGTTTGACAAGTCCTAGATATCTCCGAATGAATGTATAATGTTAACTATTTACTATTATATACTAAGTTTCTGAACGGGAATCTGTATAAAATTCTTTCGAATAACTTAGACCAATATGTATAACTTAACAAAGATCAATTATCGTGATAATTTAAACTTAACTACTTTAAAATGATAAGTACAAAATAAGTTCAAATATTGTTAAGTCGTTGTACTGTAGGTTTTAAAAGGATCCAATGTGGTCTAGCGGCTTAACTCACCTGAGAATCACTCCGGATATGGTTCAAATTGTTGACCACGACTCCGTTTTCGGATGTCATAGGCTCCATCGCTGTACTTTCATCATCCAAATACACTTCAAAGAACACAACACATTGTCTCCAAGTTTTACTACCCGTCCCAATCAAAAATACAGACAAAAATCACAAAACAATATACAAAACACTTCTTTCTCTAGCCACTTTACAATTTAGTTGGTTAAAACTTAAATGGGTTATCAAAACACTTGTATTTAATCTAAGTTTAAGTTATTATTGTGTAGTTTATTTTAGTTTCGTGTTAAGTATCCACAAACAAAGTCTAGGCCCGTACCTAAGGACGCCAGGCGGCGAAAAGTTAGCCGTGCGTGATTTCTTGCCGGTTTGAAAACCGAATGGTCATATAAGCTATCAATCTTTGCATACCAGAGTGGTGAGGTGAAACGGAGATTGTCGCTTTCGTAATTTCGCGGCGAGTGTGAAAGGGACAGCTGGAGGGCAGGTACAACCGTCGTGAAGTAAGCGGACAGTATCTACAGGTTTTGCTCTCCCACTACAAGCGGTGGCGCGGACTCGGAACGACAACGAAGCTCGAAAGACTACTTGTAACTAAGGCTGCGTAGACGCATAATATTATTGCCTTCCTATCTTTTATTCTAGACTGTACATTATCTACAAATTGTACATGAACATATGAAATGTGTAACTATATACCAAAAGCAAACAAAGCAAGACAAATTAAGCAACAAGACAATATTTACTTAGCTAACTATTTTTACTAAGTTTACATATGAAGTATTTTATCTTCAACCAAAGTAATTGATCTGTCTTAAATTATGAATAAAAACACACCCCAATCCAGCCCTGGTGAAGGCCGGGAGCTAACCTCTACAAGGGCCACTCTTGCGCATGGACCCGCGCACACAAACAAACTTAAGCTACACGCACACACACAATACAATGCACACAAGGATTATTCTTACCTGTTCTTTATACTCCTATATAATTGGCCATTTTTTATAAAAGCTACATTTATAAATATAAAAGAACTAAGAGGACAGGCACTGTTGTACAGCCTATAGTAATAGAAAAGGTATTGTAGTCAATGTTGTTAAGAATTTGTGTTGTTTGTATATCTTTTTGATTAAAAAAAAAATAGATTTGAAAAATTTCAGGAAAAGGACAAAGTTCTAAAAGTAGACATTACGAGATTTCTTAACCACGTAAACTGAAAATGGGATAAGTTATTTTTTTGTAAAATCAGTCTATGTTAAGCAGAGACATATGTAAATAGATAGGCGATTGTTGCTTCGTTCCGACTTATATGCGGCTTTTGATGTTAATGACAGTTAAATTTAACAATATAATTAGTTAGAAAACTCTTCACCACTACCAATCGCAACCATCAGCGCCTAAATGGCAAAATCAAGACACAAGTTACCACAGCCTGTCCATTTATAAAGATGAGTGATTTAAAGTAATTGATAAAAAGAAGTTTAAGTTCACATATCTCTGGCGTGAAAATTAAAAAACAAACTGACAGATGCGCAAGATAAAATGTCATGGGCCGTCAGGAACTTGTAAAGATCGTGGCGGTATCGGCCACCCTGTCTTGCGCAGCCACAATCCTCGACAACATCGGACGACGCCGGTGGCCATAATGGTAACGCACTTTTTATTGTACAATTATATAATGTTTAGAAAAAGAGGGTTAAGATTGCATGAAAATGAAAAGGCAAAAGCCCACGGTAGGAGCCAAAAAAATAAGGATACGAGCCTGAATAATCAGGCTTCACTTTACTTTAATTATACAGTTACTCAGACTAAAAATTCCTTTGAAAGGGGATTAATTAATGTATTTCAAAGTTTCAGATACCGAAATAAACAATGCACAAACACCAACCAAGTTTTACATCACCACAGGAATACAACAACTCCAAAAAGATGTTATAATAGACATAACATAAACTATAATATAAGAAAACCTAAAATGGCAAGAACACAGCAACAAATCGAAACAAATAATTAACACAAAGTCCTATGACTTCATTTTAAAAGCATAAAATTTCATCAATATGATTTTTAGCAGAGCATTCTGTGGTGGTATAAAACCAACCAGGTTATGGCATTTAACTGGAAAGAAACATTACAAACAATTGATGGATAACAGACACGAGGCGGGAAACCGTCCTTTCTATCCTCGAGATCGACCACAACTTCTACAACTAATTGCACTAAATGTAGCCACATTGGGTGGCATCCTTTACACCTACGGATGGTTCACCCCCAAAGAATGTCCTGGCGGTGACGAAAAAGTTGTCAACGATCAAAAGGTGTGCAAAAATATCAAAGGACAACCATGCCCGATTGAAGATAAAGGCACAATGCCACGAAAGTGTCCGGAACCAAACAAGACAAAGAAATAGACATGAGCAACTAAATAAATCTTAAGCAAGCTTATCTTTTGTTTTATTCGCAATATTAATAAAATAATAACTAATTGGACATTAAAAACAATTAAAGCTAAAACATTTTAATAGAAACGAAAATATAACGACGACAACGAAAGCGAAATCGAAACGAACGATGGTATGATTTTTAAGGAACAATTATAAAAACAAGATAAATTGCAACAAAAACATTTAACTAAAAAAATACTCTATAAAATTACTCGATTTTCCGTTCCTCCGTTGCCTTGTAGATTTGTAAATACAAAAAATCTGTGTGGCTTCATAAACTTCAGCATTGTGATTTGATTACCATGATACTGTCGCCTTGGTATTTAACGAGGAAAAAGTTTATCAAAATGATGCAAATAATAAAAGCTCTCGTGGTGTCAGTCGGTGTGGTAGCTGCTTATCATTATTATGTAAATAAACCATAAGGTAAGTAATAAATGAAAAGAAATGTATGATGTGTGTGAAAATCGTGATGCAAAGTACACATATGAGATAAGAAATTCAAAGATATGAAGTCGACCAACACGCAGTGGGACGGAATATTACATTTAATGCCTTTTTTATATTGGGGGGAAATCTTCAAAAAGATACCCTTCCTTCAGCGGGGAAGACAAGGTTGTGTGAGGTTTGTGCCCACTAAAACCCCCTCGGTAGCCAGCCTCTAGTGCAATAGAAGAGAGTTCCGGGATCTCCATGGTACAATTAAGTCCCTATGGTGATGATAATACAAATAATCGACTTACAGGTTTAAATAAGAATTAATCTGTATATGAATTTAAAAAAAAACAATGACTTTTATTATGACAAGTGTTGTCATATTTGAATTTCAGATTATTGATCTGTTGTTGAAAATTCGAAATTATACATCAAAAATGGATAGAATAGAGCAATTGAAGTTGATACTACTAGTGTTATCGATGGGGTCCATCGTGCAGTACACATACGGTATTTACAAACCTCCAACTACCCTATTGATGAAATACGAAGAGGAGGTAGGTGTACAGCCTACACCAATAAGCGATGATAGCGACGCGGCAATACAAAACTACGAAAACTAACAACTCAAAACTATTTGAAGTAAATGCTTGATTCTATTTTGAGTAATTATTTCTCTATCTTTGGTTTAACAACCTATTCGGTTGAGACAAAGTGGCTATTAATGTTCCTGGATATCTAAAACATTCAAATTAGGATTAATCCCAAACGTTGATACCGAATTAAAACCATATTATATATATATGTTTGGTTATATATGGTTTTAATTACATAATATACACACTGTAAGACGTACACCAGTAGAGGTAGGCCTAGTAAGAATAAGATGGCGGAAGAGATTAACCAAGAGGACTAAAGTTTGTTTCGCTGATCTTCATCACCAGCTCACTATACGTCACCACCGAGGGACTCGGAGCCTACCCTAAGTAAGGGTGACTAGGCTATTGTCAACCACGCTGGCCCACTGCGGGATGGTCGACTTCACACATATCTTTGAATTTCTTCGCCGATATCTGCAGGCATCACGATGTTTTCCTTCACCGTAAGAACGTCGGGTAAATTATGTACATTCGTACCCAAGACCTGTAGATTACAAGTCAAGTGCTTAAACCACTGAGTCACTGACGTTTTTAATCGCTGATCTTAGGGGAGCATAATAAATATGGGGAGTAGATGATGATGAGACAAATACCGCTACTAATTTCGTATTATAAAAATCATACCTTCTTCCGCTTTTTGCGTCCAGGAAAAGTGTTGGGAGGCTGAGGCGGGGGCGGTACGTGGTAGATATACGGAGGATTGAAGAATTCCTCCATTCCAGTCGCAAATGACGCCCTCAACGGTGCCATGGATCTAACAGTTCCGTATATATTTCTATTGCGTCCATGATTCATTTGATACATGTTTATTGCACCAGAAAAAATCCATATGCACTTAACTTTCACCAAAAGCGCGGGAAATACTGACGAATACACTATTGTTATAATAATAGTTTATTATAAGGTTTCTAATAGATAAATATTATTAATAATATTTAAATCTTTAGGACCTCATATTTTATTCGATTGATATGTGCGTGCGTTATGAGATACTATAACAAAATGATTTTTGTAATGTAATGCAGATGAAATGATGAACACGCATCATCTAATTATCGTAGTTTATCTGCTTTTTCCAATAGGATACGTGGAGCGAGACGTATCGACATAGTTTTGTTTGTGAAATGAGAGAAAAATATGCGCGCACGCATTCTCGCGCTTCGACACACTTCAATAAGTTTAAAAAGTTTGTCACTTGAAAAAGATATTGGTCAATTTCCTCAAGTAAATTATTAATAATCATATTTACTTTCGTATTTTATTAAAAAAACTTAGCAAATGAAATTTAAAGTAAAAAGTACAAAAACTCGAACATTTCAGATGAGAATAACCGTGGAGGTGGAACTAAAGAGTATATTAAAGAAATAAGAAATTACAACAAATTATTATTAATATGTACGGCCAACAAAGTACCGATATCAGAAAATTAGTAAAACGTTTCAACGAATCTTGTAGCAAACGCCATCTACAATGACTAAACTAACAAGATACAGGACACTATTGAGTCCACTCTCAAAGTTCCTATTGTTACCAAGAGATGGCGCTTTACAAATGCGAGATCTTCAAAATATTTTAGCTTAGTTTATTTTTATAATCAATTTAAAAAATAAATATAAATCAGATCATAAGACGATTTGCTTTTTAAAATATACTTATTAAATAATTTAAGTAAAAAGTAGAGATTGATTTCTACTGCCGACTGCACGACAAACACAAACATGTCAACAATGACAGGTAACGGACGTCAAATTCAAAATAAATCGTGTTGAGAAAATGGCTGATAAAATTTAAACGAAAATAATCAAAAATGGTACTTGTATCGATACCACCGATCGTTCTTCCAACATAATTTTTATAATGGCATCAAGAACTTGCGCAAAGTTATTTCTCACACTGATATGCAATAAAGTGTATTGCGCTAGTGGGAAGGACAACGGCTTTGGGAATAGCTACGTTTGGGCGGGATCACTGGAATCCGGGATACAAATAGGAACACACCACCAGAAACCAGTCATGGTTATAATTCACAAGTCGTGGTGTAAAGCGTGCAAAAACTTGAAACCAAAGTTCGCGTCCTCGTCAGAAATACAAACATTGAGCAAACATTTTGTTATGGTTAATTTAATAGACGATGAAGAACCAGAGGGGAATACTTATTCTCCTGATGGAACGTATATACCCAGGTAATAACATTAAATTAAATAAATTACGACGAAAATGAAACTTCGTAACTGTAAATGAGAGCATTTCCTATCGTGTAAAGTACAATTATGAAAATTTGTTATGATTCGCTATCGTAAATGATTTCTGTGATCATATCTAGTGAAATTATCCATTTTTTTTATGACTAAATTGCCATTGTTTGGCTTGAGGTATTTAAAAATTCACCGGGCTTGAGGTGGCCGAGCGCAGATGGCGCGTAGCCTAAACCTCGTTTTAACTTATTCATTTTTTATCGATAGCTTGTATTTTAACGTAGACCCGCTCTTTAGTTAAGTACAGTCAGCTATATAGATATGTATGCACGTATTCGTCAATTATATATACTCTAGTTCGGAAAAATAGATGAATAAATCCTACACTTTTTAAACTAGAGACGTTCAGTTTTACACGCTTTGAATACCTAGTGTTGTTTCTGTACATGTAGCGAATGATTTGGCACGTCGTTCAGTTGAGTGCTCTTCTTATCGGGCGCCAAAACAAATCTCTGATCCTATAAGCAATCCATAGCTCGTAAAGGTTGCTTATTTTCATGATGAACGTATACGAGTGTAGTTGAATCATTCAGGAACGCGTGAATGATTCAAACGAATATAATCCTTAGTCCTTTGTATTACGTGATATGTGAGTATATTTGAACACTTAATTAAGCAGTGAGATTTCTGAAATCTACTGAATCATAGCCAGTCTCCCATAAATCTTGCTTTCAGTATACTTTTTATTATTTAAAAAGTTAATTACACTGATTATACTAAACATTTGGTACTATCTTACTGTTATATGCATTTTTAAAGGAATTAAATCGATTTTTCTATACAGAATCCTGTTCGTTTCGCCTAAAGGTCAAGTAGATCATGATATAATAAACGAGGACGGTAGCAGTCAGCATAAATTCTTCTACAGCCGGCCGGAGCAGATCGCAAAGTCAATGAAGAAAGTAATCCAGAAATACAAATTAGAAGAGTTTAATGCGTGATTGTATTTAGTATAAATAAAGCGGTGGTATGCGCATTATTATTATTCTTATTTATGGTAGTCTACAAAGACGGATGGATTTGGCAAATAATTTTGTCTCAGCGCGGATCTACTACTACGGGTAATATGACGGTATGAATAAAGATGAAGGGCGTAAATGAATAAAATCAGATGTAAAAAATAAGTGCTTCATGTTTATTGAGTAACTGTGGGCTTTATAATAATCAAAGAAAACGAATTATTTGGAATTATCCCTGCTTTACTCGTTATGCCTTTTGTTTCTGTAAAAAAATAATCTTCAAATATTTGATACTCCTTCAGAAATTAAATAGCAAAAAAGTAGAATATTGTCAATTGCAGTTATTTTACGTAACGCTTTTTCAGGAGCAGGTCTTTAAGAATGCTGAAGACGAGGATTGGTACATTTCTTTTGTTTATTCGTTTCTGGGCTATTATCTAACATTACATTGTCTCTTATATTTATTAATAGCAAACTGAGAAGCAAAAGGTTAGCGTGGTATGGACATGTTATGCGACGAGACGATGGGGACATAAACCAGAAAGTGTTAAGAATGAATGTGGATGGCTACAAAGGAAGACCGAAGAAAGTATGGATGGATTGTGCGAAAGAGGATATGCTTAAAAAAGGAGTGGTTTCAGATATGACGGCTGATAGAGATGTATGGAAGAGCAGCGCATACTGTGCCGACCCTCCATAAGGGATAAGGTCAAGTGGATGATGATGATTTAGCAAACTGTATAGTACTCACGTCTTCGACGACAGGCTCGACGTACATCTCCATTGTGTTGTTTAGGGGTGGCAGCGGCATAGGTGAGGCTGCTGCAGATGAGCGCCGCGACGCACTCGCGCACGAACATTGCGAAACCGAGCGACGCGATCGGGGAGATTCTCTGTAAAAAAATAACGTTAAAATATTGGTAGAGCCAACCCTAAGATCTTCCTACCTCGACTAGTCGTATTTATATGAAGTTGCATGCCTAATTTCCACTGGCGTGTTAAACTGGAATATAAAATAAACACAGCACGCGACTTGAAACGACTTGATAGTCTATAAGTGGAAATAGGCACAAACTGATACGTAAATTCAATTATAAAAGAGGAAGTATCATGTAGTCAATACTTCCTCTGTTGTACTGCACGAGCTTTAAATACAACTAAACTATAACTTATAATTGAATGATTTCAACCCATTTCATTACTGCGATTATTAGGGCCTGTCCCACCAAATTATAAATTGTCTAATAACAATTCAACGGGTAAATATGTGATGGAAATATCGGATTTGGTTCCCTTATCTGACAGTGGCGTCATTTTTAAGCTTCTATCAGCTAGTTGTGGGATAGGTCCTTAGTGTATTCCGTGTAATGTTTTATAGGGTTGTCTTTTTTATTAACTTCTACGTGAATTTCAGCATTTACTGTTTTTTATGCCCTGAGCAATACAGGAAATTATAAGTGTAGGTTTTGTGATAAAAATGTGTTACGACATTCATTTAAACAATAGACTTCCTTTTGTAAGCTTTTACGTTCATACAAAACAAACAGATTGCTTATCTAGTTATAACAATTGCGAAATATCGACAAGGCTTACAATTGTTGACATAATAAACAGGATTCACCGTTTGATGGTTAGTTTTAATTGCAAATGACCGACATGTTATATTAGAACCTACTGTTCATTTAGGAAGTCTAAAAATAGACCTAATTTATCTCGAAAATTACTTGATCAAATTCCCTTTTGTGTGGACGTCGTTCTAATTACGTAAATAGGTTTTTTTAATTTT